CCCCTTTGCGTTGTCTTTCGCCACTTCGCCTTCTGCCCCCCCACAGGATCCCCCGGAACACCAAATCGGGCACATGTNAAATGTTGTTGATGAACATGCGCATCTTGTCGACGAAGCTCTAGGCCTGGGTTTCCTATCAGGTGCCGCGCTATACGTCCCTCTGTCCTGCTCATTCTCGTCCCCCGATCCTCGCCCCTTTGCGTTGTCTTTCGCCACTTCGCCTTCTGCCCCCCCACAGGATCCCCCGGAACACCAAATCGGGCACATGTGCCAAGGCCTTGGGTCGCACAGAAACCCGACGGCTACGCAAGCGAAGGAACGGGCAGCACGAGGGGACCTGAATCGTGGTTTGCACGGGGCTTCCCGCGCGAACCACAAGCAGACTTCGCGGAAAGGAAATGACTTCATCGCGTCCGGGGTCCGGGGACAGATCATCCTCCCGGTGACCGACGAAGAGCGGTCTGCTACGATGTGGGCGCCCTCGAGGAACCCTGCGTCAGCTGTGATGTTCCCGCGGTACCTAAGCGTTGTCAAACCCTGTGCGGACCCTACGGTAGAGGGTAGTGCATCCCAGGAGTCGACACCAGCCTCTGCAGGCCAGACTCCCGTAGTCTTCAACCCATACGCCCCTCGAGAGATTTAGAAGCGGAAAAGGTAGCACTTGCTGTTTCAGGTCATGTAGACAGGGTATAGAGATGACGAGAGAGGGCTACAAGATTGCAGGTGCTTCGTTTTTTCTACCGGGAACAGCACTAGGTAGACCGTAAACTACAATCCCAGCGTGCCCAGCAGTCCATGTCATGTATCATTGCGGAAGCATGGGGCTTGCCCACGCACTGTTGTGCAGAGTGTGAAACGGATAGGACGGTATGCGGGAGGAGTGAGTCTGGCGCTCCCGTTATCGAGCCCAGCCGTCTTTTCTTTTTTATCTTTTTTACGTTGGGGTAGGGGGCTCGCCCGCCCAACCTGGGCAGCACGTGTTGGAGTGACTTCCCGGTTACGCAAAACCAGCAGGTGTATTACACCCTTGTCGAATTATCTTCTTTTTTTTTTGCGATGTTTTCTCTGTTGTTTTTGTCTTCNACGCACTGTTGTGCAGAGTGTGAAACGGATAGGACGGTATGCGGGAGGAGTGAGTCTGGCGCTCCCGTTATCGAGCCCAGCCGTCTTTTCTTTTTTATCTTTTTTACGTTGGGGTAGGGGGCTCGCCCGCCCAACCTGGGCAGCACGTGTTGGAGTGACTTCCCGGTTACGCAAAACCAGCAGGTGTATTACACCCTTGTCGAATTATCTTCTTTTTTTTTTGCGATGTTTTCTCTGTTGTTTTTGTCTTCTTTTTAGTTTTGAAGTTTCGATACGTTTCCCTCCCTGCTGCGCACCGGATGTACAATGCACACACGTTAGGGCTTCTCGGTTCCCAGTCCCCCCCCGATATCCTCTCTATGTAGATCGTCATGTCCACAATTTTGGGTGCACACGTATCGGATCGACGTTCGGATTTCTCAGTAACAGAGCCTTTTGGATGATATGCCCTGGGTGGTAGAAAGGTATTAGCAACTTCAGATCAATTCTCTTCGTCAGAATTGGTTTACCGGTGTTGAAGACGTTTGGGATCGTTGTACTGTACGCTTCCTTGTTGATTAGTAAAAGATAGGATAGCTGTCGCTACAACGAGCGACAGCTGATAGATGTAACTGTCGTCAGACGTGTGCGTCCGCGGGAGGTGGAAGTAATTGTATTTTTTTGCAATTGACTAGAGGCCGTCCCAGTGGGTGTCGGCGGCAGAGAGCGTGAAGAAGAGAGTGGCGCAGCCCTTGGTGGCAAAAATCGCCTGGAGCTCCTGCTGCTTGGCGTACCAGTACGGCCTAGACCCGGTGATGTTGGCGCCGTACCGGCACATGCGCTGTGTGAGCTGCTGCGCCAGCGGCGAACCCGACCGGAACAGAATCCTCATGTGCTCTATCGTCATGGCGGCGTCCCCTGGGTTTTGCTTGAGGTAGACCTGCGCCTGGCTGAGCATCCTGTGGCGTTCCAGCATGTTCTGGCACCAGTGAGGAAACCGGGGGTGAGATGCAAAGCGGTATCGACCGTCGCGGAAGTACTTGAGGAGGTGCCTCATGCCCACCGGCTTGTGCTGGCCGGGTTCCTGCCCCTCCCTCCGGATGATGATGATCGGCACATCGGCGGCCAACCTGGGGAGGGCAGCGGCTAAGGTACTGATGTCCTGAGCGACGTTGACGACATGGCCACCGTACCCTAGCTGCCCACCCTTGAGGTGGAGGACGCGCATGATCGGACAGCACTGCGCGATGAGCATCTCCTCCGTCTGGGTCAGGCCTTGGAGCTCGACGGGTTCGCTCCCAGGATCCATGTTGTTGTCGGCGGAGAACAGCTTCGGACTCTTCTTGTCCTTCTTGCACCGCGGACAACTGTACCAACAAGCGGGTGTGGGGGCGGCAGGCGGTGGGGTATAGAAGGGTAACGGGACGTTGGTGAGTATACACACAAACTCGCTGTCATGTGAGGCACGCACGTAAGAAGTCGATGAAACCGGATCGAATTCTAGCCCTCTCTAAGGCAACTTTTTCCATATTGCTTTTCCCGGTCGTGTGTTATCCTCCGTACATACCTAATTTGTTTTTGCTCCGTACATCGTTTTTTTTGTTTTTAAAGATGTTACAAGTTGCGACATGCCGAGACGTTTGAACACGAAAGACCACCCACCTATAGACGCCTCCGTCCTCCGGTCCGTCCTCTGCGGAGTCCCAACGCTCAGAGCACACAGTGCACACATGCATCCTCCGGGCACTCATGGGCTGCTGGAAGGTGGTTTGCATGTCGTCTCTGGCCCAACCCAACTTTTCTAGCGGCCTAGCAGCGTCAAACTCCGCAAGGTCTCTCCGCTTGACATGAGCCTCGCTCTCTCGCCTTGCCCTCTCGGCATCTCTGGCCGCTGCTGCCCATTCTCTAGCCGCTGCCCGCCTGCGAAGTGGGGTCCGTGAGGTTAGTCTAATCTGCAGAGGCAGCGTGATGCGTGTGGACCATGCCACGATGCGGCGAAAAAATGTCTGCACAAGTTGAAAAATGTATTTATTTCTCCTTAATTAAAAATGCTGGGCACCAACAAGCTTTTTGTATGCACACACACCTGGCCTCTGTCGCTTGTGGTGTCTGCTGCTGGCGCCTCGCAGCCTCTCTCTCTCGGTTAGCCGCCAGCTGCTGTGGTGTCTGCCGCTGGCGCCTCGCAGCCTCTCTCTCTCGGTTGGCCCGCAGCCTGCGTGTGTGCCGTGCGTTCGATGTGTTGTGGGTGTGGGGTACAGCAGCAGCACTACTGCTGTGTGCGCGGAAGAAAAAAAAGGCCCTTGTGTATTTGAACTCTGCGGTTATTAAATTTCCTGGGGCAATCGCCGCCCACACGCACACGCAACGCACCTTTCTGCCCGTGCTCCATCGGTCTCCGTCGCACGCCTGGCGGCAGTCCTCTGACGAGCAGCAGCTCTCGCCCTGTCAAGCTGTAAGCTGCCTTGGGACTCCCTCTCCCCGTGGCTTTGTCTGCGCCGTGAGTCTGTGCGCCTCCGCCTCACGGAGAGAGTTCGGGTCAATCGACCGCAACGGAAGTCTATTCATGCAATAGCCATGCTGGCTTTTTTGTCGCTCGCTGTGGCTGTCTCTCGCTGTGGCTGTGTCCGCTCTGCCCGGTGTGCTCTGCCCGGTGTGCGTGGGTCGCCGTGCCCGCTGAGCGCGTATTCTGTCTGCACTGCAACAACATCGTGTGTTCTGTGTTCTGTCTGCTGACGCCCCCCCTTTAATACCAAGTAATGTACTACTGCTGTACTCTCAAACCTTGTTTAAAAATATAAGCGAACAAACGCACAAACTATTTTTTTCTGCATGGAGCCTATTATTGCGGTGAGACCTCAGGCGAGATTAGAAATGTTTGGGGTGTCGGCGCGTGTACTATGTTATCACGCTCGCGGGCTCTTGTCGAGAGCGTGTTGCATAAAGGAGTGACTCAAGTTCCTTGATTAACTATTA